ACCGCCACGGTCCTCCTGAAAGGAACACAGGCTTCCAGACCCTTCTGTGGCCCCAGGCAGCTGTCACCCAGAACTTCAGCAGCAGCTTCTGGCCAGTGCAGGTGAATCCTGAGGCCAAAATCCTCAATGACAATGTGAGCTCATCCCTGGGTCCTGGAGCCCTGAAACAAATCCCCCTCACCCCAAAATCTAGTCTGAACTGATTGCTGGGCTGGTTCTTATTCATGCACTCATGCCTCCATATGCCAAAAGAATGCCTGCTGTGCATCCTCTTTGTGCCAGGCACTATTCTGGGCCCCTGGGAGACAGCAAAGACCCCTGGAGACAGAGAACAATACACATAATCAATAAGTGACTTACATGGTATGTGGAAAGAACAGAGTTGAGCAGGTGAGGGGTATTGGGGACGCGGAGATGGAGGGTATGCAAGTTTAAACAGAGCGGTCAAGGTGGGCCTCATTGAGGAGGTGATAGTGGAGCAAAGACTGGAAGGAGGCGAGGGAATGGGCCAAGCAGATGTGCTGGGGAGAGCATATACAGACCCTAAGATGGGGGTCACCGGCAGGTGTGACCCGGTCAGCAAAGAGACCAGTAAAGACAGGCAGAGCAAGCAGGGGGGAGGGGAGGAGGGGAGGGGAGGCCAGAGAGGCAACTAGGGATGGAGTGTGCCCCGCAGATGGCACTGAGATTACCCCTCCCCAGAGAGAGGAAGCCAGCACTTTTTCCACTGCCTTATCTGATGCTGTGGTCGGGGAGCCAGCGAGGGCAGGCGTGAGGGCTGCATAGCTAGGCACATCCGAGAAACCTCAGCGGGGCCTCAGAGCAGCTGACATCCGCTTGGCCTGCGGCTTCTTCCTGTGGCTTCTGCATCTCAGGTTGCCCCGATGGCTGCTATTTTTGCCCTTGTTTGGGGTTCTGTGGTGGGCTCCTCTGTGCATTGTTGAGTTTGCTCTGCTCAAAGCAAAAGTGAGGGGTTACTTAAACATTCCAAATGTCTTTGGGAACATTTACTATCCCAAAAAAGTGGGAAAGAGCACGACATTTGTTATGCATGTCATCTTGTCAATCCTCATGACCCTCCAAGCTTGGAGAGGCTAGGTGGCTTGTTCAAAGTCACACAGACAAATCAAACCACAGTCTGAGGATCCTACTGCAGTCTATCTACGTCTGCAGGCCCTTAATTTGCAGGGAGGTCTTTGCACTTACTGCCTAAATTAGTATTTCTGTGCTGTCTGGCCTTGCAGCCCGTGTGAGAAACATACATCATCATGGGTGATGTCCTCCCAGAGTACCACAGCACTGATGGGGAAGACAATGACAGAAGTGGGCACAGGGAAGGGGCTCCTGGCTCAGACAGTTGCAGGTGGACTGAGGGGGCAATCAGAGAAGGCTTCTGGAAAGCCGTGGACGTCGTGACCACACCTGTAAGAATAAACAGGAGTCCAAAGGGTAAAAGAAACATTCTGGACAAAGGGGTCTGAATGTAAAATTAAGAAGCACAATAGCTTGGTGAGTGGGGAAGGGGGTTGAGGACGGAGCGGGACAGTGATTCTGCAGGAAGCAGAAGCTAGCTTGCGGACTGCAAAGTGAGATCTAACAGGTGCCCAGCCCCCCAAGTGGGCTTATTAAAGGCATCAGCACAGATCCAGCTGATTACAAAAGACATCAACCAAAGGCTCTAAGCAGGGAGGGCTGCGCGCATCAGGTGGTTCTCAGAGATCCCACTGGCTGCTGCCGGGAGAGCAGACTAAGGGGGACAGGTGGAGGCAGGGAGGCCTGGGAGGAGGCGCCTGCAGTCACCCGGGTGATAGGTAATAGTGAAGCAGGGGGACGTCATTGCACCCTGAAGGTGCAGCCAGCATGTGCAGGTGGGTGAGATGCAGGGAGTAAGGCAGAGAGAGGGGTCAAAGGTGATCCCACATCTGTGGCCTAAGCCGAGGGGTGGACAGTCATCTATACAAAGCGGGCACAAAGTAGAAGGGGCATATTGGGGTGGAGGGGGTGTGAATTGAGAAAAGGGCCATTGAGAGTAACTGTCTCCTTCCAGATGAGCCCCCTGGGGTAAGGATGTGCAAATCAAAGCTGCCTTTCTCCACCAGCGCCACCATGACTAGGGGGCTGCTGCTCCCATGTCCTCAATTGCTCTTCACAGCAAGGAAGACCTAGGGAGGTTAAGTGAGCTGCCTGGAGCCTCACAGCTAGAAGTCAAGAGAGCAAAGGCTACAAATCCAGGTCCACCGAATTCCTTCTCCAGGCTCATCTCAGCCCCCAACACCAGGACGTCCCCAGGCCCTCCCTGGAAAACGGCTCCCAGGCCCAGGAGAAGCTGGAGCATTCACTCCCCATCTATGATATTTCAGGACTCATTCTGCAACCGTTCAGATGTGTGAACATCTACCAGGCCCCTGGCTAGACGGAGACGGTGGCTCCTGGGCAGCCCTGGGCCTCCCAGTGGGTGGCAGAGAGGCTGCCCCAATAGGGCCCCAGCTGTCTCTGCGGGAAACCTGCCTCCCTGCCCCTGCTCCCAATTTCATTAATTACCGGGCTGTTCATGCACAAGGCAAGCAAGAGAGAAAGTCATCAGGGATGTCGCCGGCCGAGGAAAGGAGATTCATTTCAAACATGAAGCTCATCCTGCTCTGGAGGCTCTCACACCCAATTTCCAACGCAGAGGAGGAGTAGGGGTTGAGTCTATCAGCCTGGATTCTTCTTCCAAGGGAATCAGGGGTCCAAAGAAGATGAAGAACTGGCCCGAGATCACACAGCAATTACTAATGGCAGGAAAAGCCCTGCAACTCAGGCCTCCTACTTCTGCGCACCTTCATCCTTCCCAAAAAGAGTCGGTAGGTGCCTGCTGTGTTTTGGCCCCTGCAGGCCAGCAGACACCCTGGTTTCAGGCAAAGGCTCTCCAGGGCCTCTTCCCTCCCCAGGAGAACGCGCTGTTATTTACTAAGCACCAGCAATGTGCTTTATACATTTTATCCCACTTAGTCCTCCTAATAATCAGTCATTTTATAGGCATGGAAACTCTGGCTCAGAGGTTGCTGTGCTGAGGTCACACAGCAAGCAAGAACAGAGCCATGACTTAAAACAGGGTCTTAAAGCTGGGTTCAGCTTCTGTTCTCCAGGCAGGGAGCGTGTGTGGGGGTGCAATTCTCAGCCACTCTCTCCCTTCCAAGACTCCTTTCCTTCCAGTGCCCTCCTTCCCAGCCAGGTGCTCTCGGCAAACAGGTGGTCACGGAGCCGTCTGAACACTGGCTTACTGGCTGGCCGTAAGTAAGGGGCCCTGCCAACTCAGTCCTCATGAGTGGTCTTCAGTAAGTTGTTTGGGAAGTTAACACTAAAAGGATCAGTTCTGTTTCAAGATGGCCAGTTGGTTCCTGTCATGAACTCCCCTCCCAATCAAGAACCCATGGAAGTGACCAGAGACACAAAGAATTCCCATCAGCCAGGGCTGTGAAACAGACGTGGCCCTGCCTTTAAGCTCCCCAGATGGATTCCAGAGCCTCTGACTCCAAGCACAAGAAGAGAGCTCCCTGGGTCATGCACACAGATGCACAAAAACACATGCCCCTGTGAGCCACGCCCTCCTCATGAGCTGAGTTGACGTCCTGGGTCATTTGTTCATTCATTCATGCCTGGTGAATGACGTCCTTCCACCATACCAGGCAAAGTGTTATGCAGTGTGCATGTGCACATGTGCATGTGTGTGTACCTATACACATGAACACACGTAAATGCTTATACACACTGTCATGACAACACAAGAAAGTAGGCATCAGTGTCCGCATTTTATGAAGAGACTGAGACACGGAAAGCTCAAAGAGCTGGTTTGCTCACAGATTGTATTTGTGGCTGAGCTGAGATTAGTGAGCAGTACCTAACCCAGACCCCAGTACACAGTAGGTGCTCAATATCTACGTTCTGTGGCCAGCTGGCGCCTCAGCCTTCCCTTGCAGACTTGGGCCCACTGCCTCCTGCAGGCTTTCAGGCCGAGTGAAGAAGGTGGAAAGCATCACAGGAGGCACAGAAGCTGGTGTTTCCTGGTCTCTCCCAGTTCACCCAGGATGTTCCAAATGACGGAAAGCGGACCTGAGTGGGAGGCTTCTGTTGCCGAGACACACATGCAGGAAACCAGATTTCAACAATGGCTGTGATAAATCAGAGCACCAGAAGAGGTCGGGCCTCCTGGTCTACTGGGTGCAGCACCATCAACAGCAACAAGCCCCACCCCCAACGCAGCCAATTCCCATCGCCAAGATAGCCTCCCAGGCACAGCTGGGATGGCCACTCACGTCAGGTTTCTGCATTTGAAATCTCTGCTCCCTATTCAGGGCATGTGTGTCCCCTTAAGTCTGTGACTAGGTCCTTTCTCATTTGTTGCTTGCCTTTCTTCTACGAAAGTATGGTGTGTGGAGATCCCAACTGGTTATTTTTCAATGTCCTTACTTAACAAAAGGAAAGGTTGGCATTCACCAAATCTGGGGAGGAATTTTTATTGATTCCTCAAACTCCAAAATCCAGTGGAAGAGGCAGCTCGGGTGTTCCTGATAACGTCCTCAGCTGCTCCTCACTCCTCTTGCCTTCTTGGAAGGCCCCTCTCCCTCTTCAGCCCAGGTATATTCTGGGCTCCTCCCAAGCCATGGGCCATCCCCATCACTGCTCCCACTGTTTCCAGTCTGAATCAGCCAGATCCCCAACCCACACCTGGCCAGGCCCACTGCAGTGTGTGCTGAATGAATGAATGAATGTTTCCTGGGCGCCAGACCACAGCCTGACCCTGCTCTCCAGAAGCCAACCCTAACCGCCTCCAGAATTCCTTTCCAAAAAGGAGCTGCCAACTGCAGGCCTCCTGGCCCCTCTAAAGCATCTTCATTCCAGAATGTGACAGGTACCAGTCCAAGTCCCTGCCTGCCGTGACCCAGACATCACCTGTCTTCAGCGCGCAGGGACGGCCTGACCACCTCCACCCCAGGGGGCGGCAGGCACCCGCTGCTTACCTTCTGCGGAAACACACCTGCAATGCACCAGTGTCTTGCAAGTAGAAGGAGCCCGAGTCTCATTCCACAGAAGCCCAGGCAGCGAGAGAACGCGCCCGCGACAGCCTCTGTGCGAGTCTGCTGCATAATCAGCAGAGAAAGAGAAAAAATGCCAGAAATAGCAAGCTTTATAAGCCCTCCTGACAACTCTTGGTCCTCTATTGGCTGGAGGCCCGGCACCCCCACCCCCCATCCCGTTCATATAAGGTGAAATGGAGAAACCTGTTATTTAACCTCTTTTATCAAAATCCATCTCTTCTTCCAATTTGGGCCTGCGTGTTCAGAGCTCCTGGTGGCGGTCTTCACGCCAGGTCTCGGGGAGCAGAGGAGGCAGCCCCTAAATACAGCGCAGCTCCACGTCATCTGTGGCTTAAGAGCCTTCCCCACTCACACACGCTGCCTTGGGAGGGGTGGTGCACTGGAAGAGCCTTCGGAAGGCAAATTGGCAGCACCTGTCAACGTGTGAAACTTACACGCCCTTTCATTCAGCAATTAGACTTCTGAGCATCCATCCTGCAGAAATACCTGTACTCAGTGCATGGATGCGTGCCCAGGGATGTTGCTTGTTACAGAGAGAATTAGAGACAGCTAAATGTCGAACGCCAGGGTCTGGTTGAATACACTGAAATACATCCAATGGAATGAGGAAGGTATAGAGGTACTGACTTGGAACTGGCTGGGAGAAAAAGTCAAGGACACGGTTCCATTTTTATAAAAATAGTAACTGTGTATATGTATATGTTTGAACACGCCCTGTAAAAGATACCAGGCTGTTAATAGTGGTTACACTAGGGAGGAGGAGATATTTTCAGTTGCTGCTTTTTTCTTGTTTCATTTTTTTATTCTTTACCACAAGCATGTATTACATTTGTAATTTAAAATGGAAAAAAATAAGAACCTCCCCTGGTTTCTTTCCACTCTTCTGAAGCCATCAGGCCAAAGGCCAAGGTCACCCACCACATGCCTCCAAGTGCTTGGGCATAAGCTGGCCCGAGGCACTAGGGATTAACCAGCAGTCTCTCATCAGCTTTCGCACAAATGCAGTTAAACTAGGGCTCCGCGAAGAAGGCAGACTTTGAAATAAGACAGGGCTAGGTTTGAATCCTAGCTCTGCCTGCTGGAATGGCTAACTTCCCTGAGCCTCGGTTTCTTCACCTGTAAAATGGGGGTAATAGTACCTATTAAGTGCCATGTACTGTGCTGGATGCTAGTAAACTAATTTTAATTTTTTGGACATTTCAGAAGAAGCAAAGGCTGCTGAGGAAGCATCCTAGAGCTGAGAGAGGATCCAGACTGAGCAGGAAGAACGCTGGGAAATCATCCTATTCCTGAACACTGCTAACAATACTAAGAGGCAGAGAGAACGGCCTGGGAAGAGCAAATTTCATGTGGTAAAGGCGGCTGGTGCCCAGCATGTCTGCAGGAGGAGGGAGAGAGTGGGGGTGGATTACAAAAGGCTCCAGAAAGAAAAAAGTCTTGCTTCCTTGCCTCTGTACCTTTCTCATGCTGTTCCCTCTGCCTGGAATGTTCTTCCCCGACCTTCACACAACTGACGGCTTCTCAACCTTTCAGCTGTGCTCAAAGATCTCCTTCCTCCCCAAAGAGAGCTCCTCTAATCTCACCTGCACCTGAATTATTTTGTCCATAGCACACACCTCCAGCCAATGGTTTCTGCTTATGTGTTTGATGACTTTTGTTTCTGTGCTTACTGTTCTTCTCTAGGCTCTGAGCTTCTTCATGGTCAGGATCGTCTGTCTTGCTCATTTCTGGGTCCCGGCTCCCAGCACGGCGCCTGACACACAGTGGGTGCTCACCAAATAGAAAGTGCACACAACCAATAGATCCAAGGCACGTGGCACTCATCTCAAGGCAAAAGAGAGGTGGATTTTGCACCATGATACAAAGATGGATTAAAATTTCAGACATACCAAAGATTTAGAAACACATAGAAAGTTGTAAGCATGCAAGAAGAAACTGTCCATGAATATTTATATAAGCTTTGGATGAGAAAGAACTTTCTAGGCTCAAATTTGTGTGGCCAGGATATTTATTGCATCATTGTTTATAAGAAGATGAAAATAACAATAAAGTCCATTGATAGAGGAGTGGATAAATACATCATGGCTCTTGGTACAGTGGAATACTATGCAGCCCTGAAAAATGATGGGCATTTGTTGATGTTGAAAGAAGCCATGTTGTTTGTTGAATGTTAAACTTGTTCATCGGAAACAAGAGATAAGTGAAAGGTGTAATTGATTGTCACAAAGAAAACACAAAGGTAAAAGTCCTTCAAGTATCATTTATTTATTCATTCACTCAACAAACTTTTTTGTTCCCTCTGCCTCCTCCTTAATTCACGTAGGTCATAATTCCAGATGCTGGAGCAATGTATGAACAGAACACTGCCCCTGTCCTCACAGGCAGCCCAGCTCACACATGGAGGTAACTATAATATAACGGAAACGGTGCTTACGGTTAAGGGTCTCAGGTTAGTCGCCTGGGCAAGAGCTTCATAAAAATTGTGTCATTCAAGCTGAGATTTGGAGAAGAGGCAGAGTTTGAGCACACAAAGAAGGAACGAGTCATTTTAAAAGGCAGAAGCTGGGTGATACCAGACAAGCACAGAAAGCCCATGCATTCTTCATCAAACACTCACTGGACCCCAGCATCTATAGGAGAGGAGTTTACAAGAGCTAAGCCGAGGCCCAGATTCTGGACTGGATTCTGCCAAATGTGCTGGGAGGAGGCATTTGGGGTTGTGATCGTGCTGTCCACAAGTGTGCAGGTGAGAAAGCAGCCTCCCAACCCTGACTCCTGCACCCCGAGAGCACCAGCCCCACAGGGCAGGCAGGGCTGCGGCAGGTGCACGTGGCAGGTGGGATAGCTGAGACTTAGCAAGGCAAATCCCAGGGTGTGCAGGCGCGGTGCTCTTGGCTTTGCAATACATATTCAGGCGGAGGTATTTAGTGTGGGTTGGAGGGGGTCCCATCTCTGCGGCCCCTCCACTCGGCTCCTTCTGGGGTGGAGACAAGAAGGGCCTGTGCACCATGAAGGAACTCAGCATTTTTTAGTTCTTTTTTACTTTTTCAGATTCTGAGGCAGCATGATGGTTATGGTTCAAAACAAAGAGAGATGACTCAGCTTCCTGTGGAGGAGCTGCAGCCTTTTGGAAATGATCTTTCAGTTTTCATGCTTCTCTCTTCTCATCCACGGAGGCAGCTTGTCCAGGCTGCGTGTTGTCTTTTTGCTTTTCTTTTATTTATTTTTTTAGACAGGGTCTCCCTCTGTTGCCCAGGCCGCAGTACAAGGGCATGATCGTAACTCACTGCGGCCCTGAATTCCTAGGCTCCAGAGATCCTCTTGTTTCGGCCTCCCAAGGAGCTGGGATGACAGGCATGTGCCACCACACCCTGCTAATTTTTGTATTTTTGTTTTTTTTGTAAAGATAGCATCTCACTATGTTGCCCAGGCTGGTCTTGAACTCCTGTCCTCAAGCAATCTTCTCCTGGCCTCCCAAAGTGCTGGGATTAAAGGCATGAGCCTGCTACTTGTTTTCTTGTTGTTCAGCTGTTTCTAGGGCGAGGGGCAGGGACAATGGCCAGGCTCTGTGGCCACAGTGCCTGGGTTTGAATCCTGGCTGCGCCCTTACTAGTCCAGAGAACCTGGCCAAATTGATATCCCCTCTGAGCCTCTGTTTACTGATGTTAAGACGGGAATAATTGTTCCCTCCTGATGGGATTTTTGTGCAAAGCAGCTGTCATGTATGGAAAGTGCTTGATCTGGTCCAAAAATATCACTGGTAATAGCCGACAGCCGCCATGTTGAGGTTCTATTGTGCTTTGATGATCTCATTTAATCCTCTCACCTGCACAAAACAAGTTCCCATTTTACAGATGAGGAAGCTGAGGCTCACAGCAACAAGTCGGCTTCCGTCTTCTTATTCATGAGGGTCAGTGCACGCAGCCCAGGCAAACTCACAACCGCGTCATTATAAGCTTTGTCCCTGGGTTCTCGCTGCAGCAGCCAAGCCCACGTCGGCCCCTTGCTGTCTTTATTCACAAAATGGGGACAAATATTCTGAGATTACTGAGATGTTCCAGCCAAGGTTTACCAAAAATAATTCTGTGAAGGACTCAGGAACCTTCCATCCTAACACATCATTCCTTCCTCTGGGGCAAGGAGGAATCCACAGAGAGCTGAGCTCTTCCCACGCAACATCCCAAGGAGAGGCCAGAAGTGAGTCAGGAAACCCCCTCAAGTCAAAACACCAAAGCTGAGAGAGGGTGTGAGCTTACGCAAATCAAAAGAGCAGGGCTTTAGGCCGGGCACTGTGGCTCACGCCTGTAATCCCAACACTTTGGGAGGCTGAGGGGGGTGGATCACATAATGTCAGGAATTCGAGACCAGCCTGGCTAACATGGTGAAACCCGTCTCTACTAAAAATACAAAAATTAGCTGGGTGTGGTGGCACCTGCCTGTAATCCCAGCTACTCAGGAGGCTGAGGCAAGAGAATCGCTTGATCCCAGGAGGCAGAGGTTTCAGTGAGCCAAGATCGCGCCATTGCAATCCAGCCTGGGTGACAAGAGCGAAACTCCGTCTCAAAAACAAACAACAAAAAAACAGGGCTTCAAAATCACTCATCATACAAATGGCCACCATGCACCGTGATATTAACACTGGGACTCTCGAACCTTTGTCCTAGAACTAATTTTTTTTCTTAAATGCATTGCAGGCGAACATAAGGTAACCCACAACAGCCTGAACCCAAGCCTCCATGCCCCCTTCCCTCACATCACCCTGAAGCATACGCTGACAGAGCAACCTTAATAGTAACTGACTAATTTTAAACCCTGTGATTACCAGGGTTGATTTCCATGGAACCTTCCTTTCACAGCACCGAGAGCCTCTCGTGAGTGGTAATTGCCAAGTTCAATTTTAGCTCTGTCATGCCCAACCGTCAGTGCTAACTGAGGCAGCTGCTGCATCGCCAGGTAAGCTGGTAATGAAGTCGGCTTCACAGCTTAATTTCACAATATTATGATGCCCCCGTCAGCACCTGTTAAGTGCTGAGAAGCTACAAGCTTCTATTAAACAAATCTCACCCAAGGGAAGTGACTAAAGCCGCTTTGCGCTTCTAAGGTGCCCTGTCTAGATCCTCACACCCACTGGGATTTTGTGGGTGCTTAATCCCATGCGCCTCCTCTCTGCAAAGTACTGACCACCAAAGTGCCACGCCACAGGCGTAGGGTGCCCTGATCACTGCCTCATCCTCTGCAGTCACCTCTCATACCCCCTCCATCCCTGTAACTCTGGCTCAGCCTCTCACCCTTCTGGCCTGGATCCCCATAGCAGCCTCTTAGCTCACCCTC